ACCTGCTCATCTCTGCACATTGTTAGAGGTGAGTGAGTTACTGCTATGATGTTGAAGGCCTACTAATCCGTGCAAAAGTCTTCACAACTGCTGATGGTCTGTCGAAAATGCTACTGAAAATAGATGGGGAAGTTACTGTGGCAAAAGCAAACGTTCCAAATTGCACTTTAACCCTCCATTTGAAGATGATGCTACATGGAAAGCATACTTAAAAACATAGCAAGAAGCCTTATTTAAGGATTTCTAGTAGCTATAAAACAAAAGATTAATTATGAATTACCTTTAATTAAAAAAGCTCTTTATCAATGAAAAGAAATAGCAAAAAGAATCTGTGAAAAATTAAGTTCTTATAAATACAAATTATATGACAAAACCAAAAATGCAAAGATAGAAATAATCATGTCTTTAATCTGTCACACTCCCCAAAGCACAGTATGTCACAGTATGACATCACCAAGTAACACTGAAACTTTGCTCCTGTGATACCTGCTTTTCAGCCCCATGGATGAGCCACCTCCTTTTAAATTTACAGACTACTCTAACTCCACCTCCTGCATGCCTCCTTCATCACACTGGATTCTTTAAAGATTATCTCAGTTGAGTGGATTATACGTTTGCACTTGAATAGATGAAATAAACTGATATAAATGGCATTAAATTATTCAAAGTTAAGCAGGGAGAGAAACCACCATTTAATTTGGAGACATTATTAGGCCATTTTTTCCAAACATGTGGCTGTTTTGAACCCATAAGTCCTACCTGTGCAATCAAACACGATGCTTTCTGAGCACCACCACTTGCCTTCTTGCGTCTCCCTGGCATACCACCCTTCAGACCCCTTACCGACTGGCCCAGCGAAGGAATACCACCCTGCTCCTCTCCACACTCTCCCACCACAGCAGAATGCCTGTCCTTTCCCATCAGCCCTTTCCCCACCCCTTTACCAAGCTTCTTTATGTCCCCCCAGTGTTCTTTGTTCAAATCCTATATTTATCCTCATTTATGAAGGGCTGGAGAGCGCAGGATATTCCTCCCTCGGTGGAAGTCATCAGGCCAAACTGATTCAGTCAGCACGATTTTAAACAGTATTACAATATTTAAAAAGACGCCATATTTTAAGTTCTGCGTGAAATAGTATATACTTCACATGTTGTAAATCCATTCAAGTACAGACTAAAATGTACTGCTGACATATGAGAGAGATGTCCCACTTTGTGTTCCTTTCAAATATGTAATATGTGAGCTTACTTAAGACAAATCATGTTCAAACACGATTCTAAAAGTATTATTTAAGACATTTATACCTTGCGAATCAACCATTTTAATTCAGTCATCTAGAGGAACAGTTTAGTAGTACTGCTTTCCAGGGAACAGGCAGTTATAAAGAAATAGCCCAGTGTACAAGCCATCTGGTCTTCTAAAACTGATTTAAAGATGATGGGGAGAGGTGTTTAACCACACAACTGGAATAAAATCTCAAAAGTCACAGACCTAAATGTAACTTCCTCTCGTGACCAGCATTTTTTCTGGTTTGTAAAGATGTCTGCTTCTACTTTGCTATCTCCACTACCGTTTGAGTAATTCTGCCAATATACTACAAATGTGATAGAAGTCTGCGCAAAATTTTAGGAAAACCCTGAAACATTCCAAAATTTTAAATGGTTTCTCACAACAATTTTCTCCTGTTCCTAGTAATTATGATCTGCACAACTACAACATTTCTACCAATTTAGTTGAATATCATGTTTTTCTCTTCCTCTCCTACACTTGCAGAAAATCATATTCACCAAGTATTGCTACAAAATGTTAAAAGAATTGCAGCGATGAGCTAAAAAGATAATTTGTATTCTACAAGGAGTGAAATGATTCCTCACTATTTAAACAACGATAACTAAACTCCATAAGATCTTTTTTGGCAAGAAGTGCTACATAATGGTCCAGTGTGCCACTCTGGAAACACACAATATGCCTATCAGTGAATAAAAAAAATATCTAATTCATTTTTAAAAAGCTGCCAAAATGAACAGTAGGTTTGTATACTTCACTAGAAAGCATTTGCAGAAAGCAAAAATCAAGCCGGATCAATTTACACAAGCTGTAGAAACAGCAGTGGCTAAGACTGCAGTATACTAAAAAAAAGCAATTTTGCCTTTTTTTGTTTTTCCAAATTATTTAAATAGGAAAACCTTAAATATTTTCAAAACAGAATATCCATTAGATTTCTGGGAAAGATTAACAGCCAAGCTTTTAAAAGGCAGAACATATGCAGTATAGATTTAACTGAGATATGCTTAACATTTCTTTGAGGAAAGCAAGATTTAAAAGAATCTGACAACGAGATGAAATTGCTAAAAAAACAACCAGCTTCAAAACCCTAATAATACAGTTATGTGAATATTTTCAGAAAATGTAATAAGTAGTATATACTTCAATTTCCCTGATTTTTTTTTAATCCCTCTTTTCCCCTGATTGTAGGAAGAAAAGTCTTCATCTGCTATAGATGACAGCAAAGTTTCTTGTAAGGGAATTCAACAAAGCACATAAAGAAGCAACAGAAGCAGTTGATACTAAAAGGAAAATAACATATGATACTAGAAAAAGCTGTGCAGCTGAAACTCCTACAGTCAGTCTAGAGCCACCACTGAAATAACACCTACAATCTCCCACATGAAATACGTAAGGGAACAGAGAGTACAGTGAAATAACCAAAGAGCAGACACCACATAATTGGTACAAAATGTCTAGTTTCTCATTGTAGAAGCATGTAAGGAAAAAGGGCTTATACAGTGAGTTGCAGTTTCATCTGGCTAACCGGTTCTCATCATTAATCCAGCATTACCTTGCTGAGAAGAAATATTTCTTTTATGTAAAGATGACATACTTCTGCTATGCTGGGACTGGTGGAAAGGATAGGTTTTGCTTCTTTCAGGAGAGTAGCTCCTGCTGCTGACACTAGAGCCAGATCTGCTGTGCGGAGAATCCCTTCGGCTCCCTGGCGATTCCCTGAAGAAAGGAGAGTCCCTCTTATGAGGGGATCGCTCTCTCATATAATGAGAAGGATAGAAGCTTTTTCTTCTGAAGCCATCTCTGATGTCCCTTTGAAGACAACAGAAAAATAAAAGTTACGTGGTTATCCTTCCAATGTTTGTGGAACAGCACTAGATAATACAATGGCAACATTTTATGTCTGGTAAATACAAATAAGTTAGCTGTCATCTGCAGAACACGTCTGAAATCTTCAGCGCTGTTAAGAGTACCAGGCAATGAATGAAAAACAAATAGGAAAACAGAAAGTATGTATATATAAGTAATTTTTTTCAGATTTCATTCAACTACTTCATCGCTGGAAGCTAATTTCTTTCTATTTCTCGATAATACAGCTAAAATATAAAAAGACAGAGATGTTCAGTGAAGTGGAACTCTCACATTTTATTTTTTCAGATTCACTCCACTTCACCTGGAAATTAAGCCTTAATTTACAATAGCTAAAAATGGATATGCAGATATTGCTAACTGTTTGGCTGGTTTTCAACTCTATTTTTCTCTTACCCTTATTTTCAAGGGACTATGTCCCTCATTTGATTTCACACACACCTTCCTATGGGAAATATCATTCAGGGATTTCAGTTTATATCCAAAAAGGAAAAAAAAGAAAACTGCAGACTATCTATCCTCATGCCTCCATATCCACCCAAGGTCAAACCCGAATGAAAATATGAAGATTTATACCTAGTAAAAAGTCCATGTCTTTCACAATACACAATATTCATTTTGAACTTTACTGGAAAATGCCACAGACGCACTCAGTTATTACTTGAAACCATAATGTAGTTCTACTTTCTACTAAATTTATATATTGTTACTCCAGACCGTACCTTAAATGTTGTGGTTATCTGAAAATTATATTAATGTGCATACATATGTAAAGGCCAAAAGAAAGAGTATCGAACTGAACTTTTCCTGAAGATCTCAAAGCCAACAAACATGCAAGCAAACACCTACTGAATCTAGACTTGTGACATTTGCCTTGGTGGTAAGACACGTTGCTAAAAGCAGCAAGTACTTCTCAGCTCCTCCACAGCATTGCTAAGTAAAAATAAAGAATTCATAGCATTTATAGTAAGCCAGAATGTACCTTATATCACTGCTTTTCTCCCCTATTTCTCACCACAGTCCAGTATTTTAAGTAAGGGAATGTCTCACAAAGACGAGCAAGGATCTGGTGGTCTCATTTAGCACAGGGTAGCTACAGCATGTTTCATGTTGGTGGAGAAAAGGAAAAAAGCCCTCTAGTGTACAATTCCTATAGCATCGTACAGGCACATTTGTGATGGCTAACAAAGGCCTTCAGTGTGCCAAAGGCGTTTTGGACTAGTGAAGCTACACAGGTAGCACCACGGTAACACAAACCCTATTACATTGATGTGTTTCATACAGTGCTGATTTACTTTTTGCATGGAAAGCACATCTGCATGAGCAGTTCTGCTTCAGAGCGCAAACATCCCACAAGCAACACGGAGGTTATTCTGGAACAGAAAAATCATTGGGGCAGGGGCATAGCCAGTAAAAATACAGACAATCCTTCAGCTCATTTCTCCAATTCCAGAGGGAATAAAGTATCAGGAAAGTAAAATAAATATTTTATTTTGAAAATTTTCATACAAAACTGAAGTATCAATCAATAGCTCTCAGCCACCCTGGTTTTCAGTAAAATGCCAGTGAGGCAAAGCCAGGTTTTACAGTTAAAAAATTATTTCACTGTTAACAGACTACAGGCCTTTACAGGTATCTTATCTTACAGAAAAGCATGTTTTACATGTCTGCATACCAAGACCGACACAAGACAATGTTACACAGATATATATCTGACAGGTGTGCTAAAAACCAATATTTGCTTCCTTTCTAAACAGGTTTTCTTCTTCTGTTTATGGCGACACTTTCTTCTCCCCAAGAAGCCATGAAAAGAAACAATTAAGGGACTGTTAAATAGTACTCTCTTTAATAGCCTCCATACAGTAGCCATTGTATAGATACTTACATCAAAGAATGAAGCGCCCCAGAATATGCAGAAGGATAATCCTCCTGCTTTCTTCAAAGGCCTAAGAGCAATGTGCCCAGCTTTGGACACGACTCTTTAGGAAATGTGTAGATTAAGGGGAGACTGTCCAGAAGGAAATAACTGAAATTATCAGAGACCAAGAAAACACATTTGATGCAGAAACACTCAACCCCCTTTGTCCACTTAAAATTTAGCAAAAAGAAACCTAAAGAAGCCAGGTGAGTTCTCAAACCCATGAGACGTAGCTGAAAATAGGGAACTACTGCTTTATTTACATTACATGCATGAACATTTCATGTAGTAATAGACTTAAAGCGGAAGATCAGACTTCAAGTATACTAGAAAGATTAGCTCAGCACTGAATGAGTTTGTCTAGTTAAGTGGGGTTTTATTTATTTATTAAAGAACATATTGATCAAATATTTACCAGGAATTAGTTAGCTACAGCACACTTTTTTCTCCAGTTTCCTTCTAAATATCTCTCTTTAAAATAACCTTATTTTTTTAAAAACAAGATTTCTGGCAGACCAGTACATGTCTTTTATGCCCAAAGCACGTTTTTATGAGTAAGTTATTAAGCCCTAGTATACAGAGAAGGTTATTATGGAAATGTTTACAGAGCCCCAGCTATCGCACACATATAACAAATGCTCTAATATCCACATAAGAATTTACAAAATATCACTTGAAAAAACACTTTGCAACAGGAAAACATTTAAAAGCCTCATTCTACAACAGTATTTTGCACAAAGAAGTAGACTCAGACTCACACTTTCAGTTTTTAAATTTTCATTTCATTGCTCCATGCTAATTCTTAACTGGACCCTATCTCATACTGAACACTCAAGCCATTAACTGTATTAAATCTGTTTCGCACAGGATAGCAACAGCACAGCATTTCTGATGTTTTCCATTAATGTAACGAACTACACTGAACGGAACAAAATAAGCATTGTTTCACTTTTTTTCCCCCTGAAATACTTAAGCTAACATACACCTGCAATTTGGTAATGAAGGCCCCAATTCAGCAAAGCAGTTAAGCACATGCTTCAGATTCCAACACATACTCAAAAGGTTTATTGAGCAGGGACAATATTTAATAGAGATGCAAAATTTTGTGCTTGGCTGTAACTTTAAAATACTACTACTGCCCTTAATAACAAATACAGGATTAAACCCTTTTATATGGGATCCCTCTTATCTTTATACTTTGTATTCACATCTCACGCTTAGTCCTGAAAGCACAGTTTAGCGCTCTCAGCAGTGTTGCAACAGGAAGTATTAGCATTTTTAACCTCCATGAAACTTGACCATTAAATTCTCACTAAAGCTGATAATCTTGGATTGGCTCCTGAAATGTTATAAGTAAACAGCCATACCCTGATATACCATCCACCAAGGGCACCCTTAGGGAGGAGCGCAAGCCTGAGAGTTACTTCAGTTAACCATCAGTTCCAGTTTTCTGGAGGAAAAAACACATACAGAATAGGCAAAGGTAGTGCTTTCTGAACAGCAGGAGACCAAGGGAATAAAACACAGAGGAGATTTGCTGTTTCCAAAGGATCAGAGACATCACCTTTCCTAAACTACCACTACCACCCGAAGTACTCTGGTCTCATCCCTCCCTGCCATTTCAAGCCCAGCAAACCATACACCAGCAATGTTGTGGGAAACTGAGGGCTATAGGAAGCCTTCTAGTTTACAGAAGGGAGTGGTACAGCTTAAGCTACCTGAAACAAAGACTAACACGAACTGGTGCATCAGTTTTATATTTTAAGAGTACATAAGGCAAAATCCAATCACTTGTTAGATGTGAAATGCCTGGAATGAAAGTGTACTTGGTTACATGAAAGCACATCACATGCAATACAGGAAGAAGTTTTGTAAGGGGTATCTTAGTTCATACTCTTGAATTCATGCTACTGGGCAACTGTACACAAAACTTCATGCTTACTATTCTTGTGGACTTCTACATCCCAATAGAGTCATCCATCTTTTCAACAAAAACATTAATCTACAATGTGGTCCAGCCACAGAGGACATAGCTCACACTTTAGACACTGGACTGAAGAGACTGGCAGCTCAACAGTGTATCACTGAGGAGCAGAAAGGGTAGGTTCTTTCAGTAACTCACAGGTGAGTGCAGTCTATCACCTAGATAAAAAGTCAGAGTTTATGTGAGCCCTTCCATCTGAGAAAGATTACTGCTACTGTCGAAGTGGTTAGTCATTCCATTTATAGACTTGGGCTTGATTACTAACCTTGCCTAAAAGTAACTCGCACAGTTTTATAAATAAATTGAGGCAATCATATGCATCTCCTAAGACAGCAGACTTCAGTGAAAAGAGATAAAACAGACAAGATTTGAACCATGCTTCTTAACTCAATACACATTCATAGAATGATAGAATCATTAAGGTTGGAAAAGACCTCCAAGATCATCAAATCCAACTGTCAACCTAACACAACCATGCCTACTAAACCATGTCCTGAAGTACCACCTCTCTGGGCAGCCTGTTCCAATGCTTGACCACTCTTTCACTAAAGAAATTTTTCCTAATACCCAATCGAAACCTCCCCTGGCACAACTGGAGGCCACTTCCTCTCGTCCTATCGCTTGTTACTTGGGAGAAGAGATCAACACCCACCTCACTACAGCCTCCTTTCAGGCAGTTGTAGAGGGCGATAAGGTCTCCTCTCAGCCTCCTCTTCTCCAGGCTAAACAACCCCAATTCCCTCAGCCGCTCCTCAGAAGACTTGTGCTCCAGACTTCTCACCAGCTTCGTTGCTGTCCTCTGGACATGTTCCAGCAATGCAACATCTTTCCTGTAGTGAGGGGCCCAAAACTGAACACAGGATTCAAGGTGCAGCCTCACCAGTGCCGATTACAGGGGCACAATCATTTCCCTACTCCTGCTGGCCACACTATTCCTGATACAAGCTAGGATGCCATTGGCCCTCTTGGCCACCTGGGCACACTGCTGGCTCATGTTTAGTCATCTGTTGACCAGCACCCCCAAGTCCTTTTCTGCTGGGC